AAGACATTATTAAGAACCAATGATTTGTCATTTAGTGTGTTCAAATGATTTGTACCAATATGAAAAATATGGAGTCTGTTACCATTACCAACAGCAAGAGTTTCCTTACCACCATACTCATGTGCCTCAGACAGGTTCTTCTTCTCAGCAGTAATGAGATGGTTGCTGGCTCCTGAGTCTGCAAACCAAGCAGGATCTGATACAGTACTTGATGAAGCTATAAGAGCTGCTGGTCTTGAGGAGTTGTTCTGGTAGTGCTGTTCAGGCCTTGTGCCCATATACCTTTCATCGAACGATTGAAACATTTTCTTCTGAATGATTGCTCAAACCATAGATTTTACATGGTCCTTTGTTCTCATTTTATCTGCTGATTCTACCTCTGCTCCTTCCACCTCTATTGTAGTAGCTCTTTTCTCTATAGTTGGACCTACCTCCTCTGTTGATATTTGATCTGTGCACAAAATTTGCTGAGGTGTGACTCAAGTTAATTGAAGCTAGGTTGTTTTTCACAGTATTAAGGTGCTCAATTCGACTTTCAAAAGTCATCAGTATAGATTGCAACTCAGGCCAAGAGATGGAGTCTTTGCTGTTGATTTGAACCACTATAGGAGTGTGCTCCTCATCTAGTCCAGCCAACACTTGTCTAATAAGATCATTGTGAGGGATGCTTTTTCCCGCAATTTTGAGATTATCTGCTAGTTGTTTAATTGTGTTTAAGTACTGATCAATATTCATTGATCCCTTTCTTGTCCTTTGAAGTTCATTGATAAGGAAAATAACTTTTGAATTATTTATTACCCCAAAACTTTCCTAGACAGCATTCCAGAGGTTGCAAGACTTTGTAGATCCCATCACTCTCATGGTGATCTCAACAGTCACTGATGAATAGAGCCAACCCATCAGTAGTTGGTCAGTAGATATATATTTCACATATTCAGTTTTTGGTGTCATTTCGATAGTAATTCCAGCAGCATCTGTAGTTTGTGTTGCCAAAAATTCTGCTTGGCAAGCTTTTGTTCCTATGATAAATCCTTCAAGATTATGGTCTTTAATGATGGGCATCACCATGTTCTTCCACAGTAAAAAATTGTTCCTATCAAGCTTTACCGGTGGAACTTGAGTGAGACTGATTCCAAACAATGGCAACTGATTTCCTCCCAACATTGAAGGCATCAATGTGCTTGAGGTTGGTTGAGCTGACTGTGAGTTGGATCTGATGTTAGCCATTGTATGGCTCTGATACCAAGTTTAAATTTGATAATATTGCAGAGGTGAAATTGATGCAGAAGCAGGGAGCTGAATGTGTGATATAATTGTATTTTTGCTTGATAATATACACCGAATATGATACAGTATATATAGCCACTTTTGAAGTGGTGAGCAAGTAAAAAAAGAATCAAATTACATGTGTTATACACTTAAGAATAAGATACAGTTGTAACTAACTAACATAGCACCACAGGTGCACATTAGCACTGGTCAATTCTCCTATTCAACATGTGAGCTGCTAAGGTGTGATAATACACTTTAACATCCATCTACTAGTGATTTTCTTTTCAACGCTGCAAAATCTCAACAACTACTTGCTTGTAAGATAAAATCTCTTTTTTTTTTTGCTCCTCGGGGCATAGTCCAGTGGTGTAAAAGACAGGAGTAAGGTTATCTCACGCCTTACTGGCAGCCACAGTGTGGGGGTTCGATTTCTGAGACATGAAATTAGACTCCTTGTAGGCGCAGTGTACAGACAGCTCTTGTTTCCTGATCTGTTGGGACACATTTCGCGATTTACTTCCCCCACAAAGCTCTAGGGAAGAAGCGATGGGGGCCCTCAAAGTTGAAGTTCAATCTTTTTTTAAAATCGCGTTTTTGTACATCATTCTTGTAGTAGTTAAAATCTTATGTCATCTTTCTTAGTCCAAGCAAGAAAAGACTTTCGACAAAATGGGCTCGTCTCTTCTTCCATTTTCAGCAATTCGGGCTTCTTTGTTCTTCATCAGTAAATCTATTTGTTTTGATTTGACAGTAGAGCAGCAAATGGGCACGACAAGGCACTACAAATTTGAAGTACGTAGTGCATGCATTTTCGATTAGCAGTGGAGCGTATTGTATATTTGTTGTGTTGTAATGTCTGTGCAGATACAGCTTCACAATGTGACCAGATTATGCCACAGTAAACTCATGCTTACTGTCAACGGCAATTTCTCGGGGCCTCGTGTCAAAGAATGTCAGCTTTCACAGGTGAGTTAGTGCAAAATATTCCACTCGTCAAAATAGAAATAAGAAGAAAATAGACTATTGTTTATTGTAGTTGTCAATGTGGTCTAATACTTATTAGGCATGGCGTTTGGCAAATCTTGAGCGGGTGGGAAGATGGACCGGCATATGTAACCCAATGCTCGTCCAAAGTGGCCAGAGCTATGTTTACAACTTCACCATTATTGGGCAGAAAGGAACCCTATTTTGGCATGCTCACATTTCGTGGTTACGAGCCACTCTATACGGACCAATCATCATTCTCCCCAAGAAAACGGTATACTAACATTGAATACACACACACACACACACGATCCTATGGCAGGAGAAAGGTGGAAGTGGAAAACTGATACAGCAAACCAGGCGCTTCGAACAGGAGCTGGACCAAATGTTCCTAATGCTTACACCATTAATGGATTCCCCGGTCCATTGTACAATTGTTCTGCCAATTGTATGTACTTTTCTCCTCTTCGTTCACTTGATCAACTGGCTAGAATCTTGCCATTTGATGGAAGTTTTTGATTAGATTCATTTTAGAAACTCTTGGGCTGAAGGTGAGACCTGGAAAGACATATCTGCTTCGTATAATCAATGCTGCACTCAATGACAATCTGTTTATCAGTATTACGAATCACACAATCACCGTTGGTGAGGTCGAAGCAGTTTACGTTAAGCCATTTGAAACCAATATATCTCCTAATAATGCCTGGACAATCCACCTATGTTCTTCTAACGACCAAGCCTAATCCATTAAACACCACCTTCTTGATGGCAGCCATGCCAAACTTCTTCGATCAAGGTACATTGTTAACTCTAATGTTGCTCGGAATTCATGAATTTGAAAAAATTTCTGCTAAAGACAGCTCAAAAATTTCAATCATGGGCCTCCAACTCCTTACCCTTCCACCAACCAACGCAACTTTCGTTGCAAATTTCAATGTAAGTTTAGCAAATTGGCGACTGTCCAATTTCCAGCCATACCCCAATCCATTGACAAGCATTTCTTCTTTACCGTAGGCCTTGGAAGCAATCCACACCCCGAAAACCAAACTTGTTAAGGGCCTAATGGCACGACATTTGCAGCTTCCGTTAACAATGTCTCTTTCACACTCCCTTGAATATCACTTCTTCAAGCCCACTTCTATGGACAATCAAATGGTATATAATATATATACCACCGATTTCTTGAGCTTTCCTATTACTCCATTCAATTACACAGGCAAGCCACCTAACAAT